ACAATACAGAAAAGTAAACACCAGTAAGAGTATTTAAACGTCAAGTTATATCTATAAACCGCAATAGGGATAAAAAATGACATCTACAACATGCAAAAAGATACATCAGTAACAAACATCAAATAACGGGTTGTTTTCTATCACAATAAGCACGGTTAAATCAAGATTCTTCAACAGTTATCGATATCAAATAGATTATATATATGAGCAACGCAATAAATTAAGCTTTTAAAGAACACAAAACATCCTACAACGCTATCGTTTTCTATGAACAGAAATTACAACAAATCCAACATTTTTTTTTCCGTCTCACACCTCACCTCCGCAAAAAGTAAGCTTCGAATGACGGTTTCATTACATTACAGCTGCTCTATATATACACCCACCTCCCACAGTGACAATGGTAGCTCACGGATAACAAAAAGAGAGTTCTACCAAAGTAAATATAGAACATTAAAATAAAATCAGGAAGGTTAAGCCTAGAAAAGATTTATTTATTTCCTAACCGCCATCTTTCTCTCGTTTCCCGCCAAGCAAGGCCGAGTGATAAAGTTTTAACATGACTTGCAGTTTCGAGTAAGCACTTAGGTTAAAAAAAATTATGTGCGGTTGGAAATACATTTATTAAGTATTGGTGTAGGTCAAAATCATGTTGTTGTTTTTTATGTAAATTAGTGTAAAACTAAATACCGGTGTAGTTGTGATGAGAATTCGTGTGTAAATTAAATACTGGTGTGGGTTGTCATGAGAATTCGTGTGTAAACAAATACTTGTGTAGGTTGTGATGAGAATTCGTGTGTGTAAATTAAATACTGGTGTAGGTTGTGATGAAAATTCGTGTGTAAGCAAAATACTGGTGTAGGTTGTGATGAGAATTCGTGTGTACACTAAATACCGGTGTAGGTTGTGATGAGAATTCGTGTGTAAACAAATACTGGTGTAGGTTATGATATTGGCATGTATTACTGTCGTGTATTTATTGATGGTCATAAAAATCATGATATTCTTCCTTTTGGAAAGGGTTCGTGTATTAAATCCTTGATATTAGTCCTAATATTATGTTTGAAATTTTGTGTAGTATTGATGCACATTCACGTGTCCTCCTTGGTCTGTTAAACTAGGTTCATATGTTCATAATGTTCTTAAATATTCCTAATTGTTGTGGATTATTCAGTGCTTACCAAATATTACCAAATATATAATATATCAGTTCTTACCAAACTGCCCATAGCACGTGAAATACTATGTTTCCACTGTGAAGTAAGATATAAGTTCTAGCAAATTTCATCTATTTCAGTTGGGTATATTATTTATGTTCATTTTGTTTCGAGCTGCAGTAATTCGAAGAACAAGCGAAGAACAAGGGGAAAGAGGTCGGTTAAAAAATGACACAGAAAGAATAATTTCAAAACGCCGTCGCTGATAATATTCGAGAACTACTATAGGCAGCGATATATCTAGCCATTCTACGATAGTACAGAACTACTGCAGCGATATTTGAGAAATTGATAGACTATCGGCCGGTTTGTTAAAATTGTGCCAGGCCCGACCCAATGAATTTTCTTGAATACAGACGCAGAAATAAAGGCATATCTGTTTATACATCTGATAGATATACATTTAACTATTTGCCCGGTTGGTATGCATGTCTAGACTGATAAATATGCATTTATTTCTTTATTTATGCATGTCAAGTATACGAATATTCTTTGGGTCGGGCCTCGCACAATTCTAACAAACCGACAGTACGTTCATATCAAAATGCTCCAATAGGTTAACTTGTTCTTTTCGAGGAACTAAATCCAATTCACCATTGAGCTAAGTCTTAATGTTTAAGTCCTCTTCTGGATTTCTTTTGGCTATCAAGTTTGTTATATTCCGTTATGGAACTGTGTATTAGCGTCACCGTAGATTAGACTGGTGTGTGTTGATGTGGGTTTGTTTACTATCAGTTCAGATGTATAGATAAGTGTCCATTTCTATACAGTGTGCGTGTATATGTATTTATTACAATACTAGAAGGACAAATGTGCTATCATACAGGAGCGACAGTTATGGAGGGATAGGGGGCAGTCCTCCCCCCCCCCCAGACTCTGTTTACCCCCTCAAGGTATGGCTATTCCCCCCATCAGTACATTTCTTTTCTTTTACTAAATTATTCCTATATAGGTCGTAGATTAAAATGCTCCTGGCATTGCTCATTTTTCTGAATTTTTGTTCGGTTTGCCCACCAACCCACCTTGCCCCACCCCCTTAATAAAAGACTGAAATGATGCCCCAGTCATCATGGTTATAATATTGCAATCGCTTTTATTTAGTTAGCGCTTAATAGTCACAGAAAACGAGGTTCAAGTAATATATAGAAAATGAGAATTTTAAGGAAGACTTACATATAGTGTCTGACAAGTTTTTTTATATATATATAGATGCAAATAGATAAATAGAAAGTTCATCTTTTTAGTTACTTAAGAATAACTACAAAAATGATTGGGGAGATTTAGTAAGAACATTATAAGCATAAGGGTGCATTAAATTATTACTTGTAGTCGAAGAAGAATTATTTTTTTTATTTTGGATAATCTTAAAATTTGAGCACATGTCCATAACAAATTACGACGCCATACTTCACATCATTCCAATCGCATTTACATTTATTCCTCCTACTATGTTCTTCTTCATCCTTCCCCTCCCTTCCCTCCCCCCCTCTCTCTCTCTCTCTCATTGAAAGACGCCAATTAATCATTAAAAAAAACGACATAAAAGTTATTACACGAGTCAAATGCGCAGGAAGAGAAGCTCACCCTGAACTAGAAATGGACAGCGGAAGTCTCCATTGCGCGCGCGGCCACATGCAACACGTGGAGGCATCCTTCGGATTTTCCCACGCACGGATTTCTCACTTTCACGAGTCTGTGTAGGTATGTGTGTGTGTAGCGGGGGGGGGGGGTGTAGGGTGGGGGGGTGGGTATTGTGTGGTGTGTGTGTAGGGTGGTAGGGTGTGTGTGTGTGTGTTAGTGGGTGGGTATTGCGTGCGTGTGTGTGTTGTGTGTAGGGGGGGGGGGTATTGTGTGCGTGTGTGGGTGGGTGTAGGGTGGTGGGTAGCGTGTGTGTGTGTGTGTGTGTATAGGGTGGTAGGTGTGTGTGTGTGTGTGTAGGGTGGGCGGGTATTGTGTGTGTGTGTTAGGGTGTGTGTATGTGTGTGTGTGTGTGTGTGTTATGTATGTGTGTTGTGTGTAGGGAGGGTGGGTATTGTGTATGTGTGTGTAAGGTGTAGGGTGTGTATTGTGTGTGTGTAGGGGGGTATTGTGTGTGGGAGGGGTGGAGGGTATTGTGTGTGTGTGTTGNCCTAAAAAAATAATGATAATAATAATATTATCATGTATTATAATTACATAATTAATACAATTAATGATAATGATAAGAATAAAAAACATACACATATAATGATAAAATGCGTAATCATAATCAAAATCATGTATAACAATGATAAGGATGAAGTTAATATTGTAATAATGATATGATAATACTTACCACTTATTCATTAATAATGTTACATGAAATGATTATATGACAATTAGCATTAATGGTGACGACAATGATAATTGATAATGAATTGTGATTATTATCATTATTATACATGTATCATCATCGGGGATGATATTATATCAGTTTAACATTATTATCAATATTATTCATTATTATCATTGTTATTATCATTATGATTAGATAATAGAAATAACAATAATGATAATAAAAACAACGATGATAATTATGAATAAAAGTTTAATAACAACAAACAATCTGATAATGGTAGATTAATAATAAGGATAACTATCAACACTAGTAATAATATTAAAATAAACACTAATTGATAATAATAATTAATGGATAATGAAAAAAATTACTTGATAATAAATGATGAATTGATGATGATAATCCAAAAATTGAAAATAATGATGAATGATAAACAATGATGATAACCAGTAATGCATGATGATAATAAAATGATGGTAATAATAATAATAATAATAATAATAATATAATAATAATAATAATAATAATAATTAAATCAAACAATAGTAATAATATAATAACCAATAATAATAATATAATAAAATAATAATTAATAATAATAATAATTAATGTAATAGTGACAATGATTGATAAAAATAATATAATGATAATAATATAAATGATAATAATCAATCTAATAAGATAATAATGATAATGATAATAATAATAATGATGATGATAATATAAAATCATAATAAAATAGCAATATTTATAATATGTGATAATATAATAAAAATATATAATGCTGATGATAAGATATGATAATAAATAACAATAAATTCATAATAATCATAATTATCATATATCATCATTTAATAAAAGAATGAGAAAAATGATATAATGATAATGATAACTAACAAATGATAATAATAATGATGAATAATAACTAATAATATTAATAATAATAATAATAATAATAATAATAATAATAATAATAAAATAATAAAATAATAAATAATAATAATAAGAATAATTAATGACTAATGATAATAATAATATAATAAACAATAATAATAATAATGATAAATGATATAATAACATAACAAATAACAATTGAAATTTGATAAACATAATAATAATGATAATAACACAAGAAGTTATGATAATTACGATGTTGATTTATACTATTATCACTGGATTACTAGTAGTCAGGTTAGTATTTCATTATTTTCATTGTTATTCATCCTCAATACATATCTTCTTTATCAAGTCAATAATTATTGCTTATTAGATATTAATATTTCAATAAATAATATCATATAAATAACAAATTAATATTATATACTTATATATAGAGTCATATGATTACCTCAACAATAATACTACTGATACACATCAATTATTATTATCATCCATATCTTATTTGATTATTATCATTTAATTTTGTTATCCCACTGTTAGTTCATCTATCGCATTATTGATGTATT